AGTTGGACGTGTCGAAGCTGTCTCAGCTGCCGATCAAGAGCTTCGTGCGGCTGCCGTGCGGCGGAGTGGGCGTCGATTCGGATACCACGTGGAACGAACTGAATACCGCGCCAGCCGCCCGAATGGCTGTCGGCTGCGTCGTCGATCTGGCCTTTAAAACCGCCATCGGTGACATCAAGAACGGTTTCGCCGTGGTACGGCCGCCGGGACACCACGCCGAGACGAATCAAGCCATGGGTTTCTGCTTCTTCAACTCGGTCGCGATCGCCGCGCGATTGCTTCAGCAGAAGCTCGACGTGCGGAAAATCTTGGTCCTCGACTGGGTAAGTTGTTAAGATGCCGCGTTCGTCCATCTCTCCGGCAGAGAGACCGAGAGAGAGAAAGCGAGAGAGAGAGAGGCAAAGCACGATGTTGTTGGTTTCTGTTGTTCAGGACGTGCATCATGGAAACGGGACGCAACAAATGTTCTACGACGATCCGCGAGTGCTGTACCTGTCGATACACAGGCACGACGAGGGCAACTTCTTTCCAGGGACGGGCGGGCCGACCGAGTGCGGGGCCGGCGAGGGTCTCGGTTACAACGTGAACATCGCCTGGTCCGGCGGCCTGAATCCACCGATGGGAGACGCGGAATACCTGGCGGCGTTCCGCACGATCGTCATGCCGATCGCCAAAGCCTTCGACCCGAGCATCGTTCTCGTCTCCGCGGGATTCGACGCGGCCGTTGGACACCCGGCGCCACTCGGCGGCTACAAAGTCAGCCCCGCCTGCTTCGGCAAAATGACGCAGCAGCTGCTCGGCCTGGCCAACGGCAAGATCGTACTCGCCCTCGAAGGTGGCTACGACTTGGCCGCCATCTGCGATTCCGCCCAAGAGTGCGTTCGAGCTTTGCTCGGCGACGAACCAACTCAACTTCGCCAAGAGGAATTGACCAGGATACCTTGCCAGAACGCGGTCGACACGCTGCAAAAGACCATCGCCGTGCAGGTGAGACCGATGAGAGATCATCTTCTTCTTCTTCTTCTTCTTCTTCTTCTTCTTCTCCGCTTCCTTCCGCCGTTTTTTCCCTCTCTCTGTCTCTCCTTTTTTTT